TATTATTATTATTATTATGCCTTTTCTTCTCCTTTCTCCTTGTCTTCCCTTTGATTTTGCCAACATTCTAAGATAGACTAGCCTTGAAAACAGGTGACATGAAGAACTTGAGGAAAGCCAGAAATTACAGTTAAGTCAAATGGTTTATAGAATTTTAAAAAGAAAAAAGGTTCTTAGACGTGATATTTCCAAAACGAATGGTGCCTGGATGAGTTTAGACCACCTCCAGGAATTCCTCCATCAGTGGCCAATCCCTTCATTTTTACAATCCTGCCTCAAAGCCATTCAAAATTAGTTCTCAAAATAATCTATCCAAGACCAAGTCACACAATGTGCAAGGCTCCAGCGGTTCCATAACTTCAGAAATGCTACAAAGAAAAGGCAGGATAATTGCAAGTTGTGCGGAGCAACCCACACATTTCAACAAAAGACAACTTAAATGTCGCTAATGAAACACTATCTATCGGGAAGCAATGCCTACGAAACTTACCATGTAGTCAGCAATGTCTTCTGGAGCATCTCCATCAACATCAAATTTAAATGTGACCATTTTATTGTTGTGAGTCTCCAGCTGGCACTCCACAGTGTTGTCCCCTGAGGTTGAAACCTAGTTGAAGACAGAACAAATCCTGTGCCCTGAGATCATGGTGAAGTCTTAGGCAACAGATATCATCTCCATGTGATCAGTAATTCCCCCATCAATCTCATAAGCAAGTATGGGCAAGTTTGACGGGCATGGGAAGCATGTTTTCATCCCAGCACCTACTATGGGCTGCATCATGCCCAGGGATGACCTGAACTGAGGATGGGAGTGGGGAGTTAAAGCTAGAAGTGACCTGCCATTTTTTGGTGGTTTGGAGATGGCAGCAAATCCCCCAGGCAAAATCAAAGACCTTTCACCAGAGAGATAAAAAACAGGTTGCTTACTCATAACTATGGTTCTTTGAACAGTCATCTGTGCCTTCACATATATGAAATTTGTCTCATGCACGGATGAAATTAGACATCTAGGTGTTTCCTATAGCTAAAGCAAAAGGAAAACCAATCCCCACCCCTTGTTTTCTTAAAGCAGCTGACCCTGCCAACATCTAGCTCAGTTCTGGAAGTCTGCTGCAAATTAGAGTCAGGTCAGAAGGGCATTTGCCTTGCTGTTTGGTCTGCTGCACGGATGGCCAAGCTCACTCCTTTTTCCAGGAATAACATGACATAACTGCTCAAGTGGACCAGCCATTCCCCAGAGCATTCCTACCCACACCTTTCTGGGTCCCTGTCAGTGGCTACTACTGTTTTGGTGTGAATACAGAGCATGCTCCTTTGGTTTGGTTCCAGGCAGAATGTCTTAAGGTTGGTGCCAAGCCAAAATACATTTTTTCTAGACTGCTGCTCTGCCACTGAATTCCACTGTGGAACTACAGCTAGAGTATGAATGATACAAACCTGTAGCACAGTGAGCTGAAATTTGGTTCCCTTTTCTGGCCGGGCACAGGAGGTTCTCCTCTGCTTGCTCTTGTCTTGTTTGCCATTTCCACTTGGAAGGTCAGACCCACTGGCACCTTCTTTCAGAGTGGCCAAGTCAGGAGTGAGTCTGAAAAGGACAGGAAAAGAAGGTGAGCCTTCTTCAGGAGACTTTCTGTAAGGGAAGTAGGAGAGGGGCGCCCTTCCATACCTTCAAAGAACACAAGAGCAGCTGTGCTTGATCTGTTTTTGTTTTGCTTTATACCTTACAGTTTTGGTTTACTCTACGCTATATTGGGTCACTTTATTATGTAGCATTGTGAAATATTTGCAGTTTTATGAATCTCACACATCACATTGTTGTCTCCTAACAAAGGGCAAGCTCAACATGCTTTTAATATATAAATAGATCAAGAACCATAACCGAGAAACACTCAGGTTGATTCCTCGTTTACACAGAAAAGCCCTCTTAACACATTGCATCCAGTAGAGGCACAAATTCCATTTAGAGACTAATAGGCTTGAAATTATTTAATATTAATGTAATTATCATTTTAGAGGCATTTAATATACACAATACTTTTAAACATCAAATTTAAATAACCATGTCATTGTAAAAAATGGTTTCAAATCTATTTCTATACACCCTGCCGTGAGGCAGCAAGTTCTCAGTGTAAACCTCGGCACAATCACACATTCATTAAATGACGTTTAAACATAGACGGGGAAACCTTTTTCAAGCAAAGGGAAAACTATATTTTCCCGCTAGGAATGTTGCTGGAGTTTTATGCCAGTGGTGAGTTTCCCAAGTCCACATCCTCTCCACTGTCCAGAAATGCCCCCCCTTCTAGTCAGACACATTCATACATCCACACATCCCACCCACCTCAATTCACACAGAAATACAGCAAGCTATCCAGAGAGAAAGACGGCAGAGATGGGGATGGAGTGCATGTATGCACAGATACGTGTGAATGTCATAGGGAGGAGTCTCTAGATGTGGCACTGAAGTGCAGCTCTCAAAAACCTATCTACAGAGAGGACATGGCACTCCAGCTGAAAAAGGTTCCCCACCTATGCATCAACCTTCAGGTGAAAAGGATCCATATGTCTTGGTCCTGTGCAAGTAACTCTTGGCTTCGCAAAGTCACTGCAGCAAAATGGGGCTGGGGCGGCGGCGGGGGGCGGGGAACCAAGGGAAACTAACTCCTGCATCCATTGTAGTAATGAATGAAGCATCTTCCAAAGGTGCAAAGCACTTTGACCGCTCAGGAAAACCACTTCATAAACAACAGCTACGAATTCCACCACTTCTATATATCAGTGATAACTAGAGATGATGCCGGTACAAGCTAGATAGCTCAGTGGGCTGGGTACCTGGCTGCAGGACTAGAGATTAGACATTTGCTTCCCCCACTGGTCCTTATAGAAGAAGAGTCAGCCTGTCTACTGTGGAGCAACCTGCATAGTTCCAGAGGTACCCCCAAAAGAAGGGGCCTCCTCTGGGTATTCAGTAACTAAAAATCCCCCAGAAAGGGTCACTATAAATTGGAACTGATTTTATGGGATATAATTATTTACTACTAGAAAGGCACGCAGAGGTATGTGTTGGACAGACAAAACATTTGGGAATCCTAAAAATGTGGTAAGATAAAGGTAAAGGTTCCACTTGACAATTTGTCCAGTCGTGTCCGACTCTAGGGGGTGGTGCTCATCTCCGTTTCCAACACATAGAGCTAGCGTTTGTCTGAAGACAATCTTCCGTGGTCATGTGGCCAGCGCAACTAGTCATGGAAGGCCATTACCTTCCCACCGTGGTGGTTCCTATTTATCTACTCACATTTTTACATTCTTTCGAACCGCTAGGTTGGCGGGAGCTGGGACAAGCGACGGGGGCTCCCTCCGTTGCATGGATTTGATCTTACAACTGCAGGTCTTCTGACCTTGCAGCACAGAGGTTTCTGCGGTTTAACCTGCAGCGCCATCACGTCCCTTACATGCGTCGTAGTATTTATTTATTTATTTATTTGTTTGTTTATTTATTTATTTGTTCGTTCGTTCGTTCGTTCATTCAATTTATACCTTGCCCATCTAGACTGAAGTCTACTCTGGGTAGCTAACACTAATTCATAAAAGTAAAATATATATAATAAAATAAAGACAACTGTAATAATATAATTCAAGATGGCAAAAGTAATTAGATGATGACAGGAGGGAAGAAGGGGAAATTCTATTTTATTATTTATTTTTGAAAAAAAATGAAATTTGAGTGATGCAAGGGGGCTTAAAATCTTCTGAGTGGAGGAAAAGTCACTTGCCTGATGCACCATTTGGTCTCTGCTTTAGCTAGCAAAATATCTTGGGCTGGCATTGACAAGGCACACTCTGATAATGTTTAGGGACCCAACCCATTAATAGAACAGAATCAGACTTCTTTTTAATATACTGCAGCTTTGATTATACTATTCCTAATAGTTAACTTAAATATTTACTTCCTGAAATTTAATTAACATGTTTGGCAGGCAGAGAATGAGGGCATTTCTTTCATCACTCTTTTGACATATCATGAGAACTACAGTACTTATCTTTCCCCACCTCTCAGCTAAGCAGTCTTTTCTTCTGCCAAACAGATTAATTCACGCTGGAGCAGACTCACCCTTGAACAGAATCTTGCTTTTGAACTGCTGCTGGTTGCTCTGGTGCTAAGACAGAAACCTGCTGGGAGAAGAGAGAAAAATGTACTGTCAGAACCTGATAAGGATACCTGACTCCTCCAGGACTGCTTCAAAGATTTATAGACCTCTCAGACAAAGAACATAAGTCTAAAGTATGATTTGTCATATATGACATAAAGGGTTAACCTCAGAATGGAATCAGACAATCAGTGACAAGCATTGCCAAAATCATCTCCTTTTAAGTGTCTTCACTGTTGAAATCATTCCCAGCAACACCAAAACTTGTTTTCAACAAAGCCTTTTATTACTACACAGCTTCTAGGTTCCATATGAATAAAATAAAATCCGAAAGTATAGAAAAACATGTAATTTTTGAGAAGCCATGTTGCTTTATCTTGCCAGAAGCATCCTTAGAGCTATGAACAAAGCTGTAGGTACAAACACTCAAACAGATGAAAACTGAACTTAAGTTGTACTTAAATATAAAATACAAGAGCTTTAAGCCTATAGTGCATCTCTAACAATTGTTATCTTTAAAATTAAAAAGCAGTATAACTTCCAAAGCTTTCTTTAAAATACATGAAAGAACACCAGAGTTTTTATAACAAGAGAATATAAAATGAAAAGCATTACTGAGCCTCTAAGCATATCTATATATACACACACACACACACACTCTCACTCTCTCTCTCTCTCTCTCTCTCTCTCTCTTCTAAAAAGAAGAAAGCTCACCCAGCCTTAGCTAATTTGAATCTATGACTATGTGATATCCATAGTCCAGTGCAGCTTTAATATCTTTTTGCTGCTCTAAGGATGTTCGCCTGATGTCCTCTTTGGGTAAGATGTCTCTCCATTCTTGCAAAAACTGGCACAAACCTGAATGAGCCATTTCTGCCTTGTTATCAGTAGCTTTGTACTAAAACAAACTGTACTTATTTTGTAAACAATTTCCCAAGCTGTAGTTTTTCAACTGTACTTCCATTTTTATATAACCTCTGAGGCACATTTTAAAACAAAAGTTTTCATTTCTAGGGCAACACATCAGCACCTCATAAACTCAAATTTTCTGGGTTATTGACAATATTATTAACCACTTTCAATATTGGAGAAATATATAATTCCAGAAAATACAAATTATTTGTGCTTTCAAAATGGAACACTGTTGTATTTTATCAGGCTGATATGTTCAAGACCTGGGAATAAGTTTTTAAAATGCTCGTTCCCAGGTCTTGGACATATCAGCAAATGGGGTAGAAGCAGGGTGGATCTGATTTAAATCAAATTGATTTAAATCATGATTTAATTTTTTTAAAATCAGATTTTTTGACATTTTAAATTTTTAAAAATCACATTTTTAATTAAATCATGATTTAAATCAAAATGATTTTGAAAAATCATGGATTTTTATCCACCCTGGGTAAAAGTTTACTCTGGGGATTCTAATAAAGTTCTACATTTGATTCCTATATTTCTTAACCACGATTAAGAATAAGTTGTCAGCTTGTCAGTATGCCTAGTCTCAGAACAATATGTATATATTTTGTAATCACAGCAAAACGAGTAAAAATGAAAGGTACTAAAATGAAAGCTTGGGACAAACTACCCTACAGTGTAAGAGATGTAGTGTGTTTGGACATCACAATAAGTTAGAATTTTTAAAGAATGTTAGTTGTATACAGAGACAGCTAAACAAATCACAAACCAGAGCCTGAAAATTACAATTTGAAAATAAATTATTCATAATTAATGTCCTATAAAGTTATATTAAAATGATAATGTAATGAACTTCTTTACTTCTTTTGTACTATAATTGTTTTAGTTGGCTCAGTAGTTACAGAGGATGGCCTAATTAGGTGTTCTTTGCCCAAGGGCAATGACATAATATTCAGAATTATTTATGTAACAAGAAGTAACAGTGTGAGCAACAATATAACGCTAACTAACTACTTTTGGATGCAGGTTAGAAATGGAATCTGAGCACAATTTTTTTTTCATATTTTTGTCATGTGTTATTGGATGTTTCTATGTTTGTTTGATTGTTTTATACCTTTTAAAATAGATTTTAAAAAGAAAATTCAAAAAAGAAAGGGAAAAAAAGACTAGCCCTACTATTAGGTAAAATGCAGCAGTACAATTGGAATGTCATAAGAAGACAAAAAATGTTACTTACTTATTTGGCACTTAATCCAATAGTTAATTCCAGGTACAGCAGACAAATGGTTCAAAGCAAGACAAAACCTATCGAACTTCTATTGGGCTGTCCCTAGCTGGATTTTATGGCTAAATTTCACTTTCTATAATTATTGCATTATTACTGCCAGGAGTGTGGAGAAGTGCTTTCTGTCTCCTGTGCAAAATAGTTTGGCTGAATTTGGGTACTATAAACTTTAAAATGTGTTAGAGTTAGTATGTTTAAAAAAAGGAACTGGAACCTGATTATTGTTCATATATGTTTGAAGTTGGCACTTTGGCTTGTTTTTTCACTGACAAGCCAAATACCACATGGTCTATTCTTAATGAATTTCTCTCATCTGGTAGCAGGGAGCAAGACAAGGTTGCCTGGTTTCAGCAGATTTGGCTCTCATGAACAACCATAGATGACACAGCAATAGTTTGTTTAACCCAGTGGTTCCCAACCTTGGGCCCCCAGGTGTTCTTGGACTAAAACCTCCAGAAGCTTTAACCACTAGCTGTGCTGGCCAGGATGTCTGAGAGCTGTAGTCCAAAAATACCTGGGGATCCAAGGTTGGGAACTACAGATGGGCATGAACCGCAGATTTAGCTATTTGTCCCAGTTTGTTTATCACCACGACAGGCATTTAGTGGTTCAGCACCCCACTTCTTCCAGCGTGTGCCCCCTCAGATTTTTCAGGATGCCCGTAATATAAGCCCTACTCCTCAAATAAGTCGTAGTTAAGAGAAAGCCCACCCTCCACCATTGTGCAGCAACCAGAAGAAGGCGACATGACTGTTATTTGAATAAATGTAGAAGGTTGTACATGAAAAAAATAAAACATCCCCTGAAAATAAACCCTAATCTGGTTTTATTTTTTTGTTTTTTGGAGCAAAAAATTAATATAAGACCCTGTCTTATTTTTTGGGGAAACACAGTATTAGCATACTGTTTGTGAACTACAAGCCAAGGATCCCCGTGAAACCTGCCTTCTCATGATGTCTAAACTGGGTCACAAAAGCACTAAATGTCATTAGCACTGCTACCTCGTAACAATTTTTCAATTGTTTGAAAAATGTGTTTTTTGGAGCAAAAAATTAATATAAGACTGACTTTTTGGCCCTGAAAAACATGCCTCCAAGTGGGGGGGTCGTCTTGTACGCCGGGTGCATGTCCAGCAAACCCTCCCTCTCTCCCAGCGAAGTCACTTACCAGGTAGTAAGACTGAGTAGAGCCCCGCTCCTAGCCTGGGAACAGATTGACTCTAGCGCCAAACAGCTGACTGTCCGGAACAGCAGAGAGGCGGCAGCCATTGTGAGATGCGACCACATGGCTGCTGCCTCTCAAAATGGCTGCCGCCTCTCCAAAATGGCTGCTGCCTCTCTGCTGTTCCTTCTTCCAGCAAACCCTTGCTCTCTCCGAAGAGGAACCAAAAGGGGCAAAAGGAACTCTCCCCATGATGCAGCCAAAGCAGAATCAAAGAGGGGATAGTCTTATACAGCAAGTATATAACAAACTCTACATTCTGAGTGGGAATGTTTGGGAGGCGTCTTATACGCCCAGTCGCCTTATACACTAGCAAATACGGTATGTACAGTTCTCATGGAAGTCTGGCCAAATTATCTAAAATCTTGTCGCAAAGCCACTTGTGAAACAGATTACAAATACCTCAATCTGATTAGCAAGCAACCAGTGAGACTTCCCCACTTCCCCCATAAGCGCGCACACACACGCTCACACACCTTTTACCTCTGTATACTTAGACAAGAGAGAGAGAAATCTTTCCTGAAGTCCCAATCCTGATGTGCTCCCTCCTGTATTATTTAATGGAATAAAACTTAAAAGTAAGGAGTAACTATTATTTTGCAACACACACCCATGTTCCTTCTCTTTCTTTTCAGGGTGGTAGAAAACACTCATTCCCAGGTCTTCCAGAAATTCTGGAAAACAGACTCTTTATGCCAAGGGACATACCTGCGGGATGTCTTGTACTTGGGCAGGCTCCTGATATGGTTGTGTCACTGCACTGAGAGATGTCTGCTGGCTCTGGGATGCTGCCATAGAACTCGTGGGAGGGGTTTGAAGTTGAGCACCTCCTTCTGCTGACAACACTGATACTTTACACATTGGCGGTGGCTGCTGAACATACACCGGCTGGGCAGAGGCAAAGGATTGGTTACTCTCAGGTGGCTGAAAGGTTTGAGACTGTTGAAGGAGACTGGTGCTGTGCAGGAGCCCCGGCGCTTCTGAGGGTTGCTGTGCAGCATAAACTGGTTCAGACGGCTCTGGTACAGAAGCCGCAGTCGGCAAGACACTCGGGACAGGCTGAGGGATTGTGCCTTGGAATGGCTGAGGAACGGGATGCTGGCCAAACTCTGGGTACGGAGGTTGTGGCTGCATTTGTGGCACAAAAGGTGACTGAGATGACACAAAAGGGGCTTGTGGTCCTGGCTGCTGTCCTTCTGAAATCCTATGGAGCTGGTGAGGAGGCTGCAGCTGCTGGTGTCCTGTCCCAGCGTCTGCCTGGATCAGATATGTTGGTGGCTCAGTCTGGTGCTGCTCAGAGTAAGTGTGAACTTCCACGGGTTGCATCGAACAGACCTGTTGCTCCATATAACCAGCGCTACCATCCTTCATCATATATAGCGACTGCTCAGGAGAGGGTGCAGCAAAGCCTGGTTGATCAGTGACCGGTACTGCTAAGTGAGCCTGTTGGACATCTGGAGCTTGAGCAGGATATGGTGTTGGTTGGGCCAGGTATGCCACATGCCCTTGATAGAAAGGTTGCATCGGATACGTGGGTTGGTCCAAGGGCTGTTCAGAATAGACCCCAGCTGTTGGATAAGCCAGTTGCTCTGGGCCAGGAGGCTGATCTGAGCCCTGCACAGTGTATGAAGCCTGCATCTGGTTTGCTGCTTGCTCTGGGACCTGCAACTGGTTTGCTGGCTGGACCTGGTGCATCACCTGCTCTGACACTGGTAGCTGGTGTGAGGGCTGTGCAGGATATACAATTTGTTCTTGGGCTTGCATTTGGTACTGGGTCTGTGTGGGATAAGCCCCCTGTTCTGGAGTTGAACCTGAGAGCTCACCCCGTAGCGGCTGCTTTTCTACGTCCTGCAAGGTGGCAGCTGGTAACTGCTCAGTGGAGCTGGAAGGAAGAACAAACTGTTCATGTTTCAGCTGCTCCACAGGCAGGTGGAGTAACATCTGTTGGATTCCACAAGGAGGCTGATCTGTGGATTGGTGTATCTGAATAGTCTGATCCTCTGACTGGGGCTGAGAAGATTGCCCAGAAAGATCTGCAGACATACCTACGTACTGTGGGTACTGCTGGGCTGGTGCCATTGATTGCGGTACATTAGATACATGGTGTGTAGATGCGACCTGCTGCGGCAGCTGGAAGGAGCTAGTATGCTGCGATTGCTGCACAGATGTCACCTGCTGGGAAACTGTCTGAGACTGCTGCATCACTGCAGCTGGTTGAAGCTGTTGAGTGGAAGTCACCTGCTGGGACATTTGCTGGGATTGTGGCTGTGGCATGGATACCACCTGTTGTGGCACCTGATGGAGCAGTTGCTGGGGCTGCTGCATGGATGAAACCAGCTGTGGCATTTGCTGCAGCTGCTGCATGGATGCCACCTGCTGAGGAACTGGTTGGGTCATTTGCTGGGGCTGCTGTATGGATGCCACCTGCTGTGGCATGTGCTGTGGCTGTTGCACGGTTGCCACCTGTTGTGACATTTGCTGCGGCAGCTGCATAGATGCCATCTGCTGGGGCATTTGCTGGGGCATTTGCTGGGGCTGCTGCATGGATGCCACCTGCTGGGGCATTTGCTGGGGCTGCTGCATGGATGCCACCTGCTGGGACATTGGCTGGGGCTGCTGCATGGGTGCCACCTGCTGGGGCATTTGCTGGGGCTGCTGCATGGATGCCACCTGCTGGGGCATTTGCTGGGGCATTTGTTGAGGCATTTGTTGGGGCTGCTGGATGGATGCCACCTGCTGGGGCATTTGCTGGGGCATTTGTTGAGGCATTTGTTGGGGCTGCTGGATGGATGCCACCTGCTGGGGCATTTGCTGGGGCATTTGTTGAGGCATTTGTTGGGGCTGCTGGATGGATGCCACCTGCTGGGGCATTTGCTGGGGCATTTGTTGAGGCATTTGTTGGGGCTGCTGGATGGATGCCACCTGCTGGGGCATTTGCTGGGGCATTTGTTGAGGCATTTGTTGGGGCTGCTGGATGGATGCCACCTGCTGGGGCATTTGCTGGGGCATTTGTTGAGGCATTTGTTGGGGCTGCTGGATGGATGCCACCTGCTGGGGCATTTGCTGGGGCATTTGTTGAGGCATTTGTTGGGGCTGCTGGATGGATGCCACCTGCTGGGGCATTTGCTGGGGCATTTGTTGAGGCATTTGTTGGGGCTGCTGGATGGATGCCACCTGCTGGGGCATTTGCTGGGGCATTTGTTGAGGCATTTGTTGGGGCTGCTGGATGGATGCCACCTGCTGGGGCATTTGCTGGGGCATTTGTTGAGGCATTTGTTGAGGCTGCTGCATGGATGCCACCTGTTGGGGTATTTCCTGGGGCTGCTGCATGGATGCCATATGTTGGGGCATTTGTTGGGGCATTTGTTGGGGCATTTGTTGAGGCATTTGTTGGGGCTGCTGCATGGATGCCACCTGCTGGGGCATTTGTTGGGGCTGCTGCATGGATGCCACTTGCTGGGGCATTTGTTGGGGCTGCTGCATGGATGCCACCTGCTGGGGCATTTGTTGGGGCTGCTGCATGGATGCCACTTGCTGGGGCATTTGCTGGGGCTGCTGCATGGATGCCACTTGCTGGGGCATTTGTTGGGGCATTTGCTGAGGCATTTGTTGGGGCTGCTGCATGGATGCCACCTGCTGGGAAACTTGCTGGGGCTGCTGCACAGATGCCACTTGCTGTGGAACTTGTTGGGGCTGCTGCATGGTTGCCACCTGCTGGGGCATATACTGGGCCTGCTGCATGGTTGCCACTTTTTGTGGCATTTGCTGCTGCTGCTGCTGCTGCAGCTGCATGGATGTCACCTGCTGGGAACCTTGGTGAGACATTTGCTGTGGCTGCTGCATGGATGCCACCTGCTGGGGCATTTGCTGAGGCTGCTGCGTAGTCCCTACGTGTTGCTGAAGTTGCTGTGTTGTTGCCATCTGTTGGGAAAACTGCTGGGGAACCTGCTGTGTCGATGCCACCTGCTGATCAGCTTGCTGGCTTTGTTGCCCAGATGTCACCTGCTGAGAAGCTTGAGGAGGCTGCTGTGTAGACAGAATCTGCTGGGGCACCTGAGATTGCAGAATTGGTGCAGCTCCCTGTGGAACCGGCTGCAGAGCTGCAGAAGTAGCGATCCCTGGAGCTAAGCCTTGTATGTTGTTAAGAAACTGAACTGGAGGCTGTCCCTGTAGCACAGGGGAATGACTGGCAGGCACGGCACTGGCAGAAGCCTGCTCCGTTTCCATTGATCCTGCAGCAGCTGAAGCCTGACTACTAATCCTAGCAGGAGAAGCCAATGGTACATTTGCTGACAGATGCTGGCTGACCATCTGAGAAGCCGCCACATTCTGAGGGGAAGTGACTGTCAATATCTGCTGAGGGACTCCCATGATGGATCCATCCACTGTCTGCCCTTCTGGGGTGTAGGATGCCTGTGAATCTAGAGGCTGGGAAGAAAAATATGTTTAAACAAGGTTAAGCTCACCACTTTTACTTCTTTGCATCTTATTCTAGGGATGCTCTCCCCTCATCCCACTACAGCATCAACACACACACACACAAAAACCATCTTAGAACAACTATAATGCAAACAACAGAAACATTCTTGAAACATTACATAAATTAACAAACAGAAGTTTGTAACCTTCCATTACATGCAGTGCACTAAAATAATGACCTTATATGGCAGCTGGCATCATTCTTTCCTAGGTATGAGGCAGAATAACAGGCCGGGCAAATAGCCTGGGTTTTGTGCATGTGTCTGCATTTGCTTTTAACACTTAGGGTACTTGAGGAACAATTACTTGTGTGTATGTATTTGTGAGGTTTGGTTTTATCCATACATTTTGTAGGCAGCCAACAGCCTTTGTTGCTTTCTTGAAACTCAGTTCATTTCATACCTCTTTGGATTTAAACCTGGTAAAAGGAAAAACTGCTGGGATGTAATTTGTTAAAAGGATAGACTGTATTTGGTATATATATTTGGGGTGTGTGTGTGTGTGTGTGTGTGTGTTTCACACCATCCATATATATACCAAATACAGTATATCCTTTCAACAAATTAACGATGTCTTTTCATTTCAGTTTTACAACACCCAGCGTAGTAATTTGTATATAAATCAAATAAATAAATAAAAGAAAATTGATGTGGAAGAAGGAGGTAGCAGGTGAGGAAACAGTTCAGTGAACCTTCAGCCACTTCTCCGCTACCAACTTTATCCTCTGGTTGTTTGACTTGGTCCTCCAGCTGTTTTTTCCTCAAAATAAAACAAGTATCTGAAGCACACTGTTTTAAAAGTGTGAATAACACCACATCTCCTAGGTTGTGTGATTAATTCAAGAAAATGTTTTTGGAATTGTACAAGAGAGAGAACAGGGTGACAAGTCTCCCTGTTGGCATGCCAGCCCTTTTTCCTTTAGAAGCCGAACAATATGAAAGCTCCAGTTCCCCAAGAGATGTCAGCATGGAGACAGCAGGCTTTGGTTCTTCTGTAAGACCTGACAGTCCAGGGTCAGCAGAAATCCCAGGGAAAGAGCAACGGACAGAGAGAGAGCAGACAGGGGAAGAAATGGAGACAAACAGGAAAGAGAAGGCAGAGGAGCAGGGAGGAGAGACAGAAGGCGTAGGAACAAAAACGGTGGCTGTGGAAGTAAAAGAAGGCCAAGAAGACTCCGTCGCTGACAGTAGCAAAGAAATAAAAGTAAGCAACCCTTTGGTGTGAGAGAGGAATGAGGAAGTATCGAGCAAAGGGGGAGAGGAAGAGAATACTGAAGAAAAGCCTCAAACTCCCAAGTGGCCAGAAGGCCGGGAGACGATCACAAAGGAGAACCTTTGGACGTGGGAGTCACCACAGTGAAAGATGCCTAAAGAAGAGGTGGAGAGACAGAGACACCATCACAAAAAAAAGAAAGAAAAACCCACAAGCTTTCCTTCTGAGGAGAAAGGGAGAGAAGGGAACACAGGCATTTAGAAAGGGAGAAAGTATCAGGAGTGGGGAGGAGACTGCCCCACCTCGCAAGGAGGAAGGCAGCCTTCTCAGGAGGAGGAGAAAGACCGAATACCATTTGGAGAGATAGGAAGACCCAGGAAGAAGAGTTGGGCTTGAGACCTTTGCTGTGGCAGCCCATGCTCAAGTGTCCATGTTAACCCTTTCGCCAGGAGGCAGAGGAGGGGAGTGAGGGAAAAGAGTCTCTTCCCTAGTTCCCAAGTTGTAGATCGTTCAAGAAAGTGATTTACTTCAAACCCCACATGTAGAACCTGCAGTTGAGCCTTCAGAAATAGTGGTTGAGTTACAGTGAAGAAAAAGGGTTTGTCTAAAGCAGAACTATCTTTGACTGTGAGTTTGGAGTTAGGGAATGCCCCCACCAAGGACACCAAACCCAGTCACACGAATACAGTCAGGTGTGCTGGTGGCTATGAACACAGACCCACACAGTCTGTCTTGAACCAACGCATTCTCAGATCTGGATATTTGTTGAAGACCAGGTATCCCATGTGCAAGAATATCTTTTACTGTATTTTAATTGTACTTTAATTGTTGTAAGCCACCCAGAGACCTTTGGGTAGAATGGGCGGCATATAAGCTGAATGAATGAATGAATGAATGAATGAATGAATGAATGAATGAATGAATGAATGAATGAATAAATAAATAAATAAATAAATAAATAAGAGGTTTTTAGCCTTGAATCCTCTTTAATCATGGAATCATGAAGTTGGAAAGGGCCACTGAGTCCAACCCCCTGCTCAATGCATTTCTCTTGAATGTCTCCAGTGTTGGAACACTCCCCACCTCTCAAAGTAATTTGTTCCCCTGCCATACTGCTCTAACAGTTCAGGCGTCTTTCCTGATATTCAACCGACATCTGACTCCCTGTAACTTGTAACTGCAACTCTTGCTTGAATACTGATCCTTCCTTTCAAGATTTTCTGTCTCCAATGCCACTTTTTCGTAGCAGAACCTGCCTTGCAGAGGTGAGAAGTAGAGAGACAAGATGGCCAACTGTGGCTGTTCAGATGTTGTTGGTCTACAGCTCCCTTTAGCCCTAACCAAGATAGCCCATTGTGAGAGATCAGCTGTGAGTCAACCAACATCTGGAGGACCACATCTGTCCATCCAAATGTACAGCACCCTTTTCAGCAACAGCACTACACTGAAGCTGAATAAAAAAGAGTGTAGCTCCAAGTCCAGGAAAAATGGGCAAAGAGGTGATAGCCACAAAGTGTTAAAGAAAGGAAGATAATCAGAGCTTGAAAAAATTTAGACTCTCTCACCGGTCAGTCAAATATTTCACAAGTCAGCTGACCAAACTATAGCCTTGCAATTTATTGGGATTGGGAATCACTGACTTATATCCTCAGACTTGGATTGCTTTATTACCCACATGCCTGTGGGTGGGAATCACTGACACAGTATTTTGAATGCTTTTCTTCTGAATGTCTCCAGCAAAAATAAAACTGAAAGCAAAAGCACCCAACCTCTAAAGGAGCCACAGTTCCATCCCACCCCAGGATGTGTCCTCCTCGTTCGGTTGAAATTGGGAGCAGGGAATCGCCATATTCTCCAGCATGGGACTGCTCTACATTCTCCTGCAGAGCTATATCTCTATGTGCCGCTCGGACTCTCTTCTTGCGAGAAGAGGGCAGTTTTCCTTTTGCAATGGGAGGGGGAGGGGAGGACTGCAGGGAGAGAGAGAGAGAGAGAGAGAGAGAGAGAGAGAAAGAGAGGGGCCGAGGGGAACGAAGCAGGCAGGGAGGGAGCTGTGACTCATTCAGCAGCATTTTTAACTCATCACAGACAAGTGGACGAGTGCATTTTTCAAGCCCTGAAGATAATTTATTTCCAAAAAAAGTTGTTTTTTAAGAATTGCCACAGATGCATTTTGGTGTAATGACTTTTAACGCATGGCTCAGAGTCACTTCTAGTTCCTAGAATGAAGATTCCCTTCTCCTATGCCAAAAAATGTTTTTCTAAATAAATAACTGATTCCCATTATGTCTCAAGTTTCTAAACCCTGCTCCCAAAACATCAAGCTGTTCTCTGTTTTCACAAGGTTACTACCTTCTGCACAGCTGGGACGTTCTGCATCTGATTGCCCTCTTGCTGCACTCAACATGAACCTCTTGCAGAAGGTTTGCACTTCGGTTGCAAATAATGGCTGAACTTCTGTTTCATAAGGTATGCCATGTAATGATGTCCTCAGTTGCAGCTGTTTTTTCAAAATAAAACATTTCCAATCCTGCCCTCTTCCCCTCTCCCCTGTGGACCTATTGCAGTGGATCACAACCTTGGCTCCCCAGATGGTCTTGGACTAAAACTCCCAGAAGCCTTCACCACTAGCTGTGCTGGCCAGGATATCTGGAAGCTGCACTCTGAGAACATCTGGGGATCCAAGGTTGGGAGCTACTGACCTAGAGGATGAGCTACTGACCTAGACCCCCTTTCAATGGGGAAATGACCATCTGGATAATATTAGCAGGCACCATTTTGATGTTTCAAGAGAAGCAAAGTGTCGCCACTCCCTTCACTGCTTGCAGCCATTTTGTAAATGTTTCTGCTCTTTTCTTTAAGCTGAGGACTGCAGTTCCACCCATCCTCCCCGTCCCCATGGATATTTATTTGCAAACGCACAGCTAGCCAGAATTGGTTGCTATCCTCACTTGTAGCCATTTATAAGGATATTGCTCAGCAAGTATAATGGGCTTGTGGGCCACTTCTAATTATTTCGACAGCCTGTCAGATAAAAACAGATGAACACTGAAGGGCCTTACCATCCTTGATGTGAACTGCTGCACAGCAACAGGGGAAGCCTGGGCTTGGGGAGCTGCCGGGGGTGCCAAACCGTGGGGAGGCAGAGCTGAAGGTTGATTCTGGATTAGTGGTAACACACTGGGGTGGGCCACATTTGTTGGCGGCGGCTGCTGCTGTGGCGGCATCTGCATAAAAAAATTAATGGGATTTTATTGCTGAGAAAACAAAATGATTATCTACTATGCCATAGTTCTTCTGGTTGTCATAAGCTCTGTCTGTGACCTCGAGTGGCACACTCTTTGGGGGGAAAAAGACATCTTCTTGAAACATGTTTGTCATAGCAAAAACCGGCTAACCAAAGGCACATCTAAAACAAAACCATGTATTAGCATCATTAGAAGCCAGCAATTTAATATCATGTAGAACAACACAGCCTAAACTTTCAATCAACACACCTATAAAATAGGTAGCTCGGGGCTTGATAAAGAGTCATGAAGCTTTTGGTTGTTATCTGTGAAGATTCTCATTCATCCAGGTGAGGTTATCTGGAAGCTTAAGTCATGGCAACTGGACAACTTTAGGTTAAGAGCAAAACAACTTTAGGTTGTCAAGAGCAAAGGAGAATTAAAGACCACAGGCCAGTGAGATGATGGGGTGTAGCATCAATGTGAAAGGCCTTTGTCATCATGTATGTATGTATGCAGCTGCACAAGCCCAAGGCCAGTATTAAGATGGTGTTTAACGTCTAACTTTGGACACCTAGAGCTGGGAATATAAGGGATATAACTTTGTTCGTTAGTCAAATGTTTTGTCAAATAAGTCAATTGTTTTGAAGACACCTCTGTTATCAATTTGTCAATTGGTAATACAGTTTCTTATCACAGCACCCATTTGTGAGTTGGTCTCTTATCATTTTACCAGTTAATAAGGAAGATACATGTATTACACAATGGAATTGGCTAGGAGTGTTTCACGTTAACTGAAGGTATAAAAGGTTCCCCAAATCTTTGTTCTGAAAGTCTTGAATGCTGGGCATTCCCAGGCTGGCGCTGCACATCTACTTAGAACCACCCATTACCATTCTTCAGGGGCTTTGAACAAGGCCTAATTAAAAGGCGCTGGTTGTGCCTCATTTATTCTGCCTTTATTCTGTCATCTTCTACTTTTTTATATCATTACTATTCTTATTTTGCATTGTATGACTGTTTTTATTATGTATGATTTTATAATGATTAATGTTGTGTGATTTTTCTACCATAATTTTTCATACTTCATTGTCTCTTAAATAAAATTTTGTAATTTTTCCTCACTGGCGTGCTGATTATCTCTTGAATCAAAAAGGACCACTGCTACCTGGGCAAAAGAGAGGGTGCACTTGGCTACCTTTGGTGCAATCTAAACCCAAATCCCCTCTCCACTCAATATTTCTTCAGGTGGCCTTGAACACAATTATACTCCAAATTCCCCTCTCTCTCTCTCTCTCTCTCTCTCTCTCTTTTTTTTTTAATTTCTGAATTCCCCATCTGTCTAATACTGCACAGGCAAAATGTACGTTATTTTGCATTGTATGACTGTTTTTATTATGTATGATTTTATAATGATTAATGTTGTGTGATTTTTCTACCATAATTTTTCATACTTCATTGTCTCTTAAATAAAATTTTGTAATTTTTCCTCACTGGCGTGCTGATTATCTCTTGAATCAAAAAGGACCACTGCTACCTGGGCAAAAGAGAGGGTGCACTTGGCTACCTTTGGTGCAATCTAAACCCAAATCCCCTCTCCACTCAATATTTCTTCAGGTGGCCTTTGTGACGGCTGCGATGACGTCACCTGCCTATCATGGTTATGCTGGAACCCATCTGCCTATAGCAGAGCAGGAGGTGGGACTCCAGGAGGTGGAGCTGTGTATATAAGGGGGGGGAGTGAATGATGTGAGACAGTTTTAGTTAGTTAAGAGTTATGGAGAGTTAGACTTAGAGTGAAGGTCTGAGACAGAGTGTGTATGAGGGGATACTTGATTATTACTGATTGCCTTTTTATTTTAGTTGATAAAGTGATTTACCATTCCTTCTGTTGTTATCAATAAAATACAAGTTTTTATTTTTAAAATCATACATTTGTCTGAAGAGTCTCATGAAGGAGTGGTTGGTGGCAGCGTAAATAAAGTGTGAATGAGAGAGTGTCCTGACCATTGTGACGTGAAAGAGGGACGTCACAGCCTTGAACACAATTATACTCCAAATTCCACTCTCTCTCTCTCTCTCTCTCTCTCTCTCTCTCTCTCTCTTTTTTAATTTCTGAATTCCCCACCTGTCTAATACTGCACAGGCAAAATGTACATTCTGTTTGGAAGTAGCTCTCCTCTGTTTTCTGTCACTCATTAATAATATCCACATGTGTATATATGTCGATCTGAGAGAGAGGTTCAACAAGGAGAGCTTTTCAGACTCTACCAATTACATCTGTCTACCAAAACTTCTCTCTCTCTCTCTCTCTCTCTCTCTCTCTCTCTCTCACACACACACACACACACACACACACACACACGTGCGCCAGTCTAGGAATCAGAACATCTGAAGTAGCAATGGTCAACAGTACTGCTGGTACAAGGAAACTTTTGCCCAAATCTCACCAAATACTAGCAACACTGTTTCTTGCTAAAGAATGTGGAAATGTCAAATTATATTCTTAATTTACAAATCCTATTTCCCTTCCATTCTATAAGGTATTCCCCTGAGCAGCCAGCTGAATAAAACTGAACTCAAGGTTTTAACTTCCCATTAAATCCCCTGAATTATGCCTTTAATTGGGTCTTGAAGTAAGATTCTGAAAGTCAAGATATGTCCTACTATTATTATAAAGCAGAACAGATTTATTATAAAGCATAACCGGTTTTTAAAATATTCCCCCCCATTCCTTGGTGAAATACAAATCAAGCTGTAGCCTCAAAACCTTTGAGGGCCACATGTTGTGCATCATGGCTATAGGTGAAAACTCTGTGCAAGTGAACATGAATGACATTGTTTGATTTTTATTTTGCTCTTAAATTCAGGATTTCCTATAACTGCTAAAGAAGCCAGTGTAACACTCAAGCCTACAAACTGTTATATTCATAGGGGTATACAATTTTTTTAAGGAGTCTTTCCTTTCTCTGGAACCAAGAAAGCTCCAATGGGCTATACTGAAACATCACACACACATATCTGGTGAATTTAGACTCTGGATTTTTATAAAAGAATGTCAGACTTCGTATTTAAGAAAGCAATAGACCTCTTACCCCTGCCAGGGACTGATAATGCCCCACCAGTTGCTGGGATGGGTAGATGTGCCCTTGTACACTGTTTTCAGCTTGGGAGAGGTTGGGAGCTTGCGGGGGGCCCATCATCTGTTCTGAGGAGAAGGCCACACTATGCTGGCTGGAGGCATCTGACAGGATAACTGATCCTGCTCCTCTGTCTGATAAGCTGTCAGCTGTGTTGGTACGAAAGGAAAGAAAGTCCAGAATATTAGCTCTATCAGAAGAAGCCGGAAGTAGCTCTTCACCTTCTACCTTTTACCTTCTACTTTCAACACTCATTGCATCATGGGCTGCAAGGAATTTATGTATTTAACTCAGAATTAACATACATAGAAGACATTTATTTCAGAAAAACACACATCAAAATGTAACTCTTGCTTTCTACAAGAAGGAAAGAAGGAGTGGCCTGGTTTCTTTCTTTTCTTTCTTTTTACCAAATTAGAAGTTTGTTGTTTCTAGCTGCAGGCCTTCTACAGGGAAATTCACTACATACACCACGCTGGATATCATCTTGAAGGGCAGTTCCCTCTCTAGGCTGGGACAGCAAGTTCCCTTCCACAACATTCTTTCTCTAAGGCATTCCATTCAGTAGCAAAAACAGTATCCTTCAAAAACCACACAGAATGCAGTCCACACTCCCATGATCTATACCGCCAAGTTTAGATTGGTTTCTTGCTAATAAAGTGGAGGATTTTTAAACAGGTGGCCAGAAAACCATTCTTAGATCTACTCTAATACTGCTCCTCACACCTAAGCACCAAGAATTATAGCAAGTATTAATTTATACTGGGAAGAAGAATCAATATGAGTTTCAGCAATCTGCACTGCATATGGCGGTAGCTGATCATTCAAAGTGGGGGGAAAATCACTGAAATAAATCTTGGTTTACTTGGTAATTGCCTTCTGATAAATCAGGAAATAACTGAGTCGGAAACTTAACAAGTTCCTCAGAGCAAAGCATGCTGAGAAGCAAAATTACAAGCAGATTTACTCTTTACAGTAGGACCCCTATGTCCACAGAGGACAAGTGCCAAGCTCCCCTGCAGATGCATGAAACTGCGGATAGTAGCAAACAGCAGCAGCAGCAACCACAGACAGTGAAAGTTGGGGGGGTGAAGAGTGAAAGGAGAATGTACATGCACATGCAAACTGCCAGCTGGGTTGCAGTAGCAGCAATCACAGACAGCTGAAACTGCAGATACTGGTTTCATAGATATGGTGGTTGTGCTGAATTAAACACTATTTAGCATGTAGCGGTTGCTTATTACCAGTGAGGGAGGAAATGTGCTGCATTTGCTGCAGGATCTGCTGCCGGACATGTTGATCCACCTCTGTTTCTTCACATTCAGTCCTGGTTTGCTGGGAAGGAGTGGTGAACGATGAGCCCTGTGGCTGGAGCACTGGGAGGCCAACTGGCAGCTTGCTCTGCGAGTCTCTCCTCTCCTCTAGGTAGCCCATCTCTCTCCGCTCTCGGGTCTTCTTGATCAGGGCAACTCGATCCCGGATAGATTTAGCCACAGCTTTGGAGTCACTTTCATGAAAGAATCCTGACTTCACCTAGATTTTTTTTTTTTAAGGAAAGAAAATATTTTTGAGTCAAGTCTTTAGTATCTCTCTATCTCTATGGAAGAGGAGAAGGGGACGACAGAGGACGAGACGGCTGGACAGTGTCACCGAAGCAACCAATATGACTTTGACCCAACTCCGGGAGGCAGTGGAGAACAGGAGGGCCTGGCGTGCTCTGGTCCATGGGGTCACGAAGAGTCGGACATGACTGAACGACTAAACAACAACAACAACAACAATTTCTCTGAAGAAGTGAGCAAGTATGCATAAACACTGGGCAATATTAGTCTGTATTTGCTCATCACATTCAACCAGGGTCCCACTTCAGCAGACATTGCACTGACCACTGGACCTAACAAAGGGTATATTCTTAATGGGCAACTAGTAAGTGATGTCACTAGAAGAAAAGAAAAAAGGGAAGCCATACAAAAGAAGGGTCCCTGAGCACAAAATTGCAGGTTGACTGTACACAAAACTGAACTGAGCCTCCTGAGATGACAACCCAGGAAATGTCATAGCTGACTGGTGAGTGGGTGATGCTTAAACACTCATTCCTTGCACATATACAGGGAGAAATGAACAGATGTACTACGATGACTACTCCCAGCAATCATCAGCTGTTAGTTGTCAGCTGCCATTTAGCCAAACATTTTGTGAAAACAAAGCCAAGGCAACGGTGAACCAGAGTGAAGAATCTTCAGTCTAAACAAATAGCTTGAGCAAAGGATGAAAAAGGAAGCATGGCCAGAAAAACTACTGCTGCTTATCTGATTTATCAACAAAATGGAACTAAATCTGCCAGCTCTGATGCAAACCCCAGCTTTGCAAAGCTTCAAAGACTTCACTGGGAGGAAAACAACTGTCCACTGGTGAGAAAAAGACAGATTCCTATTTGACCTGACAGTCCAGTTCAACTTGTAAAATAAATGTGAAAATATAATGCCTTCTAAGTAAAACTCACACTCTGCTGTTGAATATGATGCATAAGGGGTTGAACAGAATTCTCCAACTTTTAACTCTAATATGTTTAAGCAATGACATCACAATCTCTCTCTTTACTCAGTCTTTTATTTATAAATCCTACAACCACCAATAAAATTAGCAAGATTGCCCAAACCATAAAACATAAAATGCAAAATTAAAACAAGGGAATGCCACGGTGGAAAAAGTGTGAGCAAAAAGGGGAACTTTAGAATTCTTCCTTATTATCAGGTGAGACTGCAAGGAAAGCATGATGTGTCTGAACATTAACTCATCTCTTTCCAAATTCTCCCTATATATAAAAAGCTAAAGACAAATTGAAATAGCAACTTCTGATAGCAGAAGACAGATTATTTCGGTCAAGAAATGAGTAAAGGGGACATTTCCCCCTCTCCTTCTGTCCCTATTTTGACCTAAATTCCACCCCAACTACTTTTTAAGATAATTAAAAACAACAACAATGGAGTATACCAACCACAGATATCCTGTACACATTCACAAGGGAAAAGCAGCTGCAAAGGCTTGCCATTTAGGGCACACAAACTGGACACAAAATGAAGGGCTAAACTGATTCCTTAAACCAGGGTGGCTCATGGACAGTTATGAGCTGCCCTCATCTTACGATAAGGAAAACAAGAATAAGGTTTAAAAAAAGTTTAAAAAAAAAACGCAACCACAACCCATGGCAATGCTTACCATTTCACATGCCACTTCCTCTGGTACGTCTGTTTCCAAGTTGAAGCTGAACTCGATAGCTTCGTTGTCTTTATGCTTGCCTTTCAGCTTCTTGGGATCTTCCACCCAAAGTCTCAATGCCAGGGAAGAATTCATCCCATCATCATCTTCTGCCAACTCTACTCTGAGCCCCGTATCCTCAGCAAAGAAGGCATGGTTCAAGAGGTCTTTGATGGACAGCCTGACAGCGAGAGGACCGAAAGAGGACAGTGGATCTTTTGAGCATTATACCAGAAGTAGAATGAGCAGTTGGTGTGCTCATTTTATTCACAAGCTTGATGGTTTCATACAGGCTTTCTATATTATTTTAAACATTTCATTTATTCCTTTAAACCCTGCCTTCAGACTAGCAATCACAACAGTTTACAAGGACTGAAAACAACAGTACAAAATCCGGATAAAACAGCTGCAGCCAATAACCAGGATGTATATTGCATCTATAACGTGCAGAGTGAAGGAGATTTTTTTTTTAAAAAAACTGTCTGATTAAAAGTCAGAATCAAAGGAGCTTCTTAAGGAAGAGAACCTGGAAGGGACATTGCAACATCAATCACTTAGTTAATGTTTTAGGCTTGGATATGAGGAAGCACAAAAGAAAGTTGACTTTCCTGGCACCTCTTTCTCTTGCGGCTCCCCCCCCCAAGCCTTTCCCACTCATGAAAACAGCGCCTGGTTCTCTGCCTTGGAAACCTTGGGCCCTCCTCTCCCTTCCATGTAGGGTTCCTTGCATTCCTCAAACATTCTGGGCATTAGCCAGACAAATCCCAATTTAAGCATGTGATTTATATGGTGAGAGCTTAGTTTTCTTTGACATCAAAGGGATGTATGTAGGTGCTGAGAAGTGCTATACAAAGCAGGGCTGCTTTGTTTAATCAAGTCTTTGCTGTCAACATTAACAAAACCCTATTAACACTCACAAAATCAATCTCTTGATTTATAGTGCACAAATGGAGAGAGATTATTAGATATGCCCACCTTTCAGACTTGTTTTGCCGAATACAGCCTTCAATGATCTCCTTCACCTCTGGGTCAGTCACTTTGTTAAAACTGGCAGGTTTAATACCCTAGGAGAAAAAGGATACAGTTATTAATAGATAATACCCAGCAGGAGTTCTCTCTGCTGTGACCAGACAAAATTATGGAAAATCACCAATCTACAAAAACAAGTCTTTTTCAAACAGCTTTAGTTAGTGGAATGATATCCTAGCCATACAATCTTTGGTTCTGATGATGTTTACTTGGACATATGTCATGCTGGTTTCAGTTCAGCTGCCTTCCAAATTTCAGGCAGGGCTCCTTTTCTTAAAATCCAAGCTACACCTTTTAAATTCAACTATGCTGCTAGATGTATAGGTGTCATACAGTAAGCCAAAATCCTGTTACTTAGCATAGCAAACTGCACTAGAGGAGGCCCATTGAATCAGTGGAGAATTAGTGAGTCATCTCCTCTATAGATGTTCCACTGATTCAACTGGGCATACTTTAATTGAAACTTCCTATGCTAAAATGAGCCCCAACTAAAATACACCTGTTTGAATCAACAAAACATACCAAGGAGATGACTTATCAAACCCCTGACCACTCACCTGTCCACCGCTGCTGCGGGCTCCACGATCCCTTCCTATCACTCCAGAGCGCGCGGTGGATTAGCCACTCTTCGACCTGGCAGAGAGGCTTGTCATCCTGCCTTCTGCCAGGTCTGGCTAATCCATCACGAGCAACGGAGCGATAGGAAGGCTCCTGCAGAGATTGCGGCAGCAGTGGAATCATGAGTGGTATGTCTGGTCCTAGGGGTCCAGATCCTCATTATCTGCACCTGTGCGGGGATATTCGTATACAAATACTCACATCTCTAATTATAAAGAAGGTACTGAAGGTACTCAGAATATTTATTTATTTATTTGTTTGTTTGCTTGTTTATTTGTTTGTTTAACTTATATGCCGCCCACACTACCCAAAGGTCTCTGGGCAGCTTACAACATTTAAAATACAATAAAAAGGCAAAATAATTAAAATGCAATTAAAATATATACAGTGGTGCCTCGCATAGCGAACGCTTCGCTATGCGATGAAACCGCACAACGAGGGGTCCCGGGCCATCGCTGGAGCGTTCGCTCAGCGATGGCCCCTATGGGCTTTTTTCGCTATGCGATGATCACGCGGACACGATCAAAGCATAGCGAACAGCTGATCGGCGGTTCCAAAATGGCCGCCGCTAAAACAAAATGGCGACCGCTGTTTTGTCTCGCTAACGAGGCATCCAAAATGGCCGCTGCAATGGAGGAAACTCGCAGAACGGTGAGTTTTAAGTCCATAGGAACGTATTAAATCAGTTTTAATACGTTCCTATGGGCTTTTTTATTTCACTTAACGATGGATTCGCTGGAACGGATTAACCTCGCTAAGTGAGGCACCACTGTACTTTAAAAATTGCCATCGGACCCACAGCTGATATTATTTCAATTAAAAGCCTTCTGAAACAGGAAGGTTTTGACCTGGCACCGAAATGTCATAAGCGTCGGCAATCCTTGCAATCCTTGGTGAACTTCATGGTGAAAAGATGCTGCTTAAAGCTTTAAGTTTTATTTTAACATTACTTATTACAGTAGATGATATCTTCTAAAGAAACACTTCTGAACATTCTTTCCCATAGTACTACATACTTTAAAATGGATTTAAAGGACAACACCCTGTATGCATAACTTATCACAAGGTAAACTAATTATATCATCAGACTGCGCTGCAAAATTTTATTTTAAATTAATTAAATCTTTCCTTTTCTCCTGTTTTAGGGTCTGAGGCTCCCTAGGGCTCCCTTTTGGCTTGAGGAAGCCTTTGAGAGCCTCAAGGTGGGAAGGGAAGCCTTTAATTGACAAAAATTAATGCCAGAATCGCACCACCACGACTAGGACCACCTGCAGGAACTGACAGTGATTTATTTGTTTGTTTGTTTGTTTGGTTGGTTGTTGTTGTTGTTGTTGTTGTTGTTGTTGTTGTTATCATCATCATCATCATCATCAATTAAATTCTCCCATTCCAATCCCAAGGCTCCCAAAGGATTTTCCAAGGCAAAAAAGGAGCCCTAGGGAGCCTTGAACCCTAAAACAGAGAGATAGGAGAAATTTCCCCAATTTAAAATAAATTTAACAACACAAGCTGATGACATCACCAACTTTTACCATGTAAAGTTACATAAACAGGATTTTGGTCAATGTAGTATAGTGCTATACAGTAAATATGAGTATGCTTTTTAATGATAATGAACAGATAGTGTATGCAGATATGTATGTATACACATAGCCTGTTCTGGTACATTCAAAACAGATCTTTAAATTTCAGATTTTCAGAATACTTAATATTCCAGTCCTTTTGGGACTCCATAATTTAAGACAATCCTTATTTTATGCAGTTATAGAATCTGTAAAGTACTATAGTCACCTTTGATCTGATGCTTTCCAGTTATACCAGAGTACAATTCCTATTCTCCCCATTCAGTGTGCTGTTGATTGTGTGCCACAACTGTAGAGCACCAGGTTGGGGAAGACCGGAATATTGTATGTGTGTGTTACAGAGAGATTGGAGATGACATACAACAATGTAATGGACATGCAAAATTTCATTAAAAAAAGGTTGGGTTCAGTTTTCTGAGTCTTAAGTATTCTGAAAATCTGGAATTTAAAGATCTATTTTGAATGTACCAGAACAAGCTGTGTGTATACATACATATCTGCATACACTGTCTGTTCATTATCATTAAAAAGCATACTTATATTTATAGCACTATACTACATTGACCAAAATCCTGTTTATGTAACTTTACATGGTAAAAGTTGGTGATGTCATCAGCTTGTGTTGTTAAATTTATTTTAAATTGGGGAAATTTCTCCTATCTCTCTGTTTTAGGGTTCAAGGCTCCCTAGGGCTCCTTTTTTGCCTTGGAAAATCCTTTGGGAGCCTTGGGATTGGAATGGGAGAATTTAATTGATAATAATAATATATTTATTATTTGTGTACATATATACTGTATGTGTGTACATATGTACATAATATATATGTGTGTGTGTGTGTGTGTTTCTTATTCTGCTTGTGTTTTTAAAGCTAGGTTGTAGAAATTTATGTTCATCCATGTCTGCATTATATATATATAATGCAGACATGGATGAACATAAATTTCTCCAGTAACTGCAAGAGTATTCTGGCTAGTAAGCTAGAATAGCTCAGTATTCTGAGAAACTAACATAAAAAAATAAGACTCGCCAATATGCAGAAGCAGCCCTCCTGCTTTTTACAAGCCCTGCAGCACAGAATTTCTTATTCATGTCAATGGAACTCATGTAAGAGAGTTTTCCAACAAATTGTGTGGACAAGGGACTACCATTTGGATCTTCCTTCACAGGCACCAATATGCTTTTGAGTTTGGCGTTGGTCCTCAAAGCCCCTGAAAAGATCCTTCTGCTGCTACCATGGTTCCTGTTTTGGAAATTAGGTCTTGGATTTGGTTCATGTGCCAGCAACGCCGGTCAGACACCTAACTTCATCTGGTAAATGAAACCGTTATTTCACACATGAATTGACTAATAGAATCTAAAAGTCCTGGCCCTATATAGCCAAAGGGAATTATGTTGTAATACAGTAAACAGTGAAAACTGTAAAGAGCTTCAACACCAGTCAGCAAAACTCTGCTGTTTTTACTAAGATACCCCAGATAAAATTCATCTTGGATCTCTTTTCTCTGGCCCTGTTTGGCACCTTTAATTCACTACAGCTACATGCACTAGTCTTAAAAGGAATAGCTATGCTGTTTTCAGTTACTTTTGGTGCCTGGATTAACAAAACCAGTTAGCATTTGAGTTGCTGATCTGACTGTGAAGCTTGGTGCACCTGGGAGGGAAAGTGTAGGTAAAGAATTGACACCGCTTTGTCCAAATAGTGACGATGGGAAGGCAGCAGGTAATAGTCTGGTATCAGTATAATGTAAATAACAGAACTGTGGGCTCGTTCTAGGAATCTGTTCCAGTCCATTTCTCATCTAAGGTCAACTGTGAAAAAGCCAGTGCTTAACTTGCACGTTACACCATCTGAACACCAAAGACTAATGTAAGTAGACACAACCTCTGAAAAGATCAGCTACTCTAGAAAGAAGTCAGCAAAGTCTGGGGAAATGTGCCAAGACTAAGTTTAGCAGCTGCTTCCCAGGGTGACAGGACCAGCATAATAGGCTTAGTTACCTTAAGCTGCCGATGTACAAGTTTACTCTAACAAAGAAGTTAAATGTACACCTACACTGGTTACTTTTCTGTAGATTTGAGCTGCATTCTGGCATTCAGAATAAGGATATTCAGACGTTGCCATCTCCAGCATACACATTCCAAAGGCATAGACATCCACAGACTCATCATAATGTTCCTCATACATCTCAGGAGCCATGAATTCTGGAGTTCCTGAAAGAAGGAAGAGACACCATTGTTTTCCTAGAGACATTATAGATTGCTGTCCTTATTCAATGAGCATTTCCCAGAGATGAGCAGGCTGCTTCTTGTGGTGCTTGTTCTTTGACTGGTTCTGCTTATTCACACTGATGAGTCTGCACCTGCACAGAGCTACCCCTTTTCAAATTCTTGAAACTAAGAGCATTTGATTCTTGCCCCCTTCTCTCGCCCTTCTTTACAGGGAATGTTCCAGCTTTTCCCCTCAGTCTATAAATTTCAGATGACCAGGAGACTATTGTTATTTAGTTGCAGCTACTAGAGGGAAAAGGAGGACGGTCCATAATGCCTAGAAGTTCACTCAAAGAACAAACATTACAAGAAACAACTTGTTTCGCAGTCCCCACATATTAACTCTGGCATCTGAAGAGTAATGAGGTTCCTGCTAGCATGAAGTGCCCTGGCATGCAGCTGGACACTGCAATCACTGAAGCCCAGAAGCAAGGCTGATCTTTCCAAAGGAAATGTCTATCCACACTCTGGTGACAAAATAGTAGTGCCAGTGTAAAAGTTGATGGCTGACACCATGTACTGTAGTAGCATAATTCTGGTAAGAATGCACTTGAAGTATCCAAAGCCCTCATGGAAGACCTCTTGGGGATGTCAGGAAGAAGTTTCTTGGCCAGTTGATAAACCACTGTAATTGTCTTAATAACAATTATTATTTTGCAAAGCTCTGGCCAGAAATGGCTTGTCCCTTCCTATGCCCATAGTATGCCACAAAAGGTCATGGAGTCTGTCTAGATGCAGCTGGCCTTCACACACAAAAAGCCAAAGCCCTCCTTATACCAAGCATATAAGGAATCTTCTTCAACTGTTTTGAAGGTGAAGTTTAAAATGCTGGCAAAACCATGTCCTACGGCAACTGGGAACTCAGACACTATTTCAACTGGAAGGAGACATCTGGTCAGAGCAAAGCCTTAATTTTATTCCAGCTAAGGTATGGGTCGTCCAGTCTTAGTGCACAATTCTTGCCTACCTTGTGACCAAAGGAAAGAGCCATTGGGGATGCTGCTTGGGCCAACAACAGTTCGGAAGATGCAGTAGCCATAAGTTCACATAGAGACTGGAAAGCTGTGTCAAGGCCAGAGAAAGACTTTAGGATAGAAATGGTGAAAACCGAAAGCTTGTGCAACACTCCCTTTTACAACTATCCAACCTCCACTAATGAGAATAGGGAGGTATACGTCTTATCTGTCCGTAGCAACTAGGCAGTTGAAGCCAACAAACACACTTTAATAGAGGGGGAAAGCTCAGCCATTGTCCAATAACATCAAGAAGAGTTGCAACAGTTGGTATGCTGAACATATCATAGTCAAATATACTGTTGCATGCGACGTTGCAAAAAACCTTCCACTTGCCTAGGTAAGACGTCAGGGTAAAGATAATCTTGGAACTTCTCATGATGTCAACAATTCCGTTCCAGGTTGAATCCTCCATGCTCTGACGTGTAGTGTACTGATATCAGGATGAAGGGTCAATCTTGATCCTCTGGAAACAGCATCCACCCAGCAAGGGAGCCTGTAGAGGATTCTCTGAGTTGAAGTAGCACAGGAAACCAAGGCTGGTGAAGCCACCCCAGTGCTACCAGAATTCCATGTCATCTCTCACAGCAGTTTTGCCACCACACTTGTTAGTAATAGAAATGGTGGAAACAAATAGAGGTTGCTCCTGATCAGCTTTATTGATCTTTGATGAGAAGAGACTCTGATCATCAAATTGCATATTTACCACCTTGTCTAGGCCATTCTGGGACAAGTTGATAGACCTTAATTAGGCACAACACCTAAACAAGTGTTCCACCTAGGGTCATAGTTGAACAGTTGGCAGAGTAGCAAGCAGCAGTAATTTGTTGTCTCAGTATGCAAGACTACTTGTACAATATCCTGGGGCAGATGCTTTCTAAGGGTTGCTATTTTGTTACAAAGGAATATCTGGCTGTGTCCTTTGCAGATTAGCAATTCCTGTAGTTCAAGCAGCTGCTAAGTAGGCTTTCCTTCCTGCTGTCAAGGCTTCTGCCTTCTTTGCTGGCAGGACCATGAAGCCTTCTTCTCTGTAGAAGAAGTGGCCATGACCAAATTTAGTGACATGTGCTGGAAGAGATGTTTACAGTCTTGCTCTTGAACTCCACTCAAGCTTTCAATGAATTTGGGATGATGCTGGTATCAAAGACAGCTTCTGGAAAATCTTCTGTGCTGATCTCAACAACAAAGTCAACACAGGTAAGTTTACCCATGTATTGGTCTTTATCCTAAGTAGAGAAAATATAGGACATCCTTCAGGTGCTTCTTGCCCTCAACAAGGCATACTCAGACATTTGGCTAAATGTATCAGCAAGTCAGTGTGGCAACAATCTTTTTTGGCAGACAGAGTCTAATCCGGTGACACTGGTTTTTCCTGTGCCTCAGAATGAAGGGTATCATCAGAGTCATTGTTGGTATCACTTCTTGATTATGGTGATTCATGATACAGTATGTCTAAACATGAGATTCTAGATGCTGACTAGATTAAGGCTAAAACTGGCTGAGGTCCCAAGTAAATCGGAAAAGCTGTAGAATGCTGAGTACTGAAGGCCATAAGCATAAGAGATTGAACAAGGACCACCAGTAGCAAAGATGATACAGATTCTGATGGCAATGTCGGTGTCAAGGGCAATGTAGGTCAATATGACATGGAGCACTATGTCTACTTGTTTTGTATGGGCTGAACTTATACTACTCCCAGTTGGTGTATTTGGCTGCAGAGTTGCATAGGGCCAAGGCTGTAATTCTCAGTGTTTGAGATCATGTGCCTCAACTGGTTCCTGATAGCTCTCAAAGGATACTGTCCCTTGTGCAGACTTCTTGTCTTGCGTTTTGGCAGAGTTTCTTACAGGTCAGTGTATGATTCAAAGTAACACCTAGGTATTTGGAGCAAAACAATTATTTAGTTGTACGTACTTTTAGGTAACCTGATGTTTCTGAGACACTGAGACATATCTGAGTCTTAGCACAGTTAGGTTTAAGTTGGTTTCTACCTCAGTATGTTCCAACTTCTTTTAATGTACTTGTTAGAAAAAGGTTGACCACTTGAATGCTGTACAACTGAGGAGCAAGTGCAAGATCATCAACATACATAAGACTTCTGGTGGATAACTGCAATAATGGAAGAAGTTGTTGTGGCTGACATAATTATTTTTCTTTCTCTCAGGTTGAATGAAAGACTGGTCTCTCCTTGATCTGACTGTTTCTTCCGCATTGACATCAAGGCAGATCTGCTGAGCTGAAGCCAGTGTTATGGACTTCAGTAATGAAATGGGCCCTGGCCTAATCCATGAAGAAGTAGCTGTGTCTGATGAATGACAATAAAAGAACCCCCAGGGGCATGGAGAACAAAGGAGACAGGGGTGACTGCAATAACTACCATGGTATCTCTCTTCTCAGCATTGTAGGGAAGCTGCTGGCCCGTGTTGTGCTGAGGAGACTCCAGGTGCTTGCAGACAGAGTCTATCCAGAATCACAGTGTGGATTCCGAGCTAATAGATCCACCACTGACATGGTATTTTCCCTTAGACAATTGCAGGAGAAATGCAGGGAACAACAACAGTCGCTCTTTGTGGCCTTCATAGATCTCACAAAAGCCTTTCACTTGGTTAGCAGGGATGGCCTTTTTAAAATACTTCCCAAGACTGGACATCCGAAGCGAAGTAAAACAAGGCTGTGTCCTCGCGCCGACCCTATTTGAGATCTTTTTTGCTGTCATGCTGAAGCAGGCCTTTGGAACTGCAACAGAAGGTGTCTATCTCTGGACTAGATCAGATGGAAAGCTCTTTAATCTTTCTAGATTGAGAGCAGACCAAAGTCCAACTGAAATGTATGTGGGACTTCCTCTTCGCCGATGATGCAGCCATTGTTCCCCAATCTGCTGAAGACCTCCAGCAACTCATAAATCATTTTAGCAAGGCCTGCCAAGACTTTGGACTAACAATCAGCCTGAAGAAAACACAAGTCATGGGCCAGGGTGTGGATTCACCTCCCTCTATTACTATCTCCACGCAAGAATTGGAGGTTGCTCATGACTTCGTGTACCTTGGCTCAACAATCTCTGACACTCTCTCCCTAGATGTTGAGTTGGATAAACGCATTGGGAAAGCAGCTACCATGTTCTCTAGACTCACAAAGAGAGTATGGCTTAATAAGAAGCTGACGGCATACACCGTCTATAGAGCCTGTTTCCTGAGCACACTCTTGTACTGCAGCATGTCCTGGACCCTTTGTGCACAGCAGAAGAGGAAGCTGAACACCTTCCATATGTGTTGTCTCTGACGCATATTTGGTATCACCTGGCAGGACAAAGTTCCAAATAGAGTACTCCTAGAATGAACTGGAATTTTAAGCATGCATACATTACTGAACCAGCACCGTCTACGTTGGCTTGGGCACGTTGTGAGAATGGCTGATGGTCGGATTCCAAAAGATATCCTGTATGGATAATTAGTGCAGGGAAATAGCCCCAGAGGGTGACCACAGCTGCGTTACAAGGACATCTGCAAGCGGGATCTGAAGGTCTTATGAATGAACCTTAACAGATGGGAAACCTTAGCAAGTCCCACATAGCAAGAACATCTGAGCATTCAGCCTGGAGGCAGGCGGTGAATTATGGCTTCTCCCAATTTGAAGAGACACATGTACAGCAGGCCGAGGCAAAGAGGCAGTCCCGAAATGAGCAAAATGAGGGAGCTAGATGGGGTACAGATTGTATTTGTCCTCAGCGTGGAAGGGATTGTCACTCTCGAATTGGCCTTCTCAGCCACACTAGATACTGTTCCAAGACCTCCATACAGAGCACGATACCATAGTCTCTCGAGACTGAATGATGCCTACAGAGGGGCATGGAGAAAGGCAAACAGATTTGTCATCTTTTTTGAGACACAGCAGCTGTAGAAGGCAGCGGTCCTTTTCTAATAAATGAGATTT